TCTTTGATCTTTGATAACTTTTCCATTACTTTTCAAAAACTTACATTACATTTCGGTTTAAAATTTCGGTCAAGATCTCGACTTGATTACCAGATTCTGTAGTTGTTGTTATTATTATTATTTTTGCAACTACATACTTACAGGCCAGACAGCTAGCAAAACCCACACGCAGCATAAAATGTTGCTTGTTTTGGAGCGAAGTCGCTTGCAGCTCCCCCTTAAATAATTTTCAGACACTAATGGAGCTTATCTCTAAACGAAACAAGCAACCGCAGCAAACAAGTCGCAAGACTGAAGCAGAAACCGACCGTCCGGCAGTCTGATTGTCCGACTGTCTGTACCTGTACCTGTACGGTCTGGCTGACTGACCGACCGACCGACACTGGCGCTTGTGGTGATTAGCATGTAGACCCTAAGAGAGTAGCTGCCATTTGTTGCACAGTGTATCAAAATGTTATGCATGCTCATACCTACTTGTATTATTGGTTTATGCGGCAAGCATCAATCCGTCAGCCTATCATGCGGAAATTGTTCACCGAGCAGTGCTCTTTCTTATGTAATCCTCACAGCATTCCCAGAGCAATTGAGCGCATAAGGAAATCGCACTATCTGCTTTGGGCAGAGCCAGGCTATGGGGACTTCATTTAATGTTGCGCTAACTTGATTAGTACGAGTAGTAGTACGAGCAGCAGCTCCGAGTAAATGAAGCCATGAAACCGAAAACGGTCAGAGCATCCAGCAACAAGTGTACGTCAAAAGTTGACAGTTTGACTGAAAACTTTTTAATTACCGCCGCATGTGCAGCATTTACGGCTAAAAACTGTCAATCAGTACAAGAGACAGTAGCAGTAGCTGTCGCAGTTGCCATGGCTATATAGTCCTCATGATCACGACGCCGACCATGATGATGATGGCTCTGCAACGCTGCATTCTTGAGTGGCTGTTGCCTCTGCTGCTGGACTCTGTCTCTGTCACTGTATCTTTGCTTTCGTAATTAGAAGAACAACGCAAACGTAATAATAAAGTCGTAACGCGGCTACAATTATAAGGCGGCAGAACAACAAAGCCACACCGCACACATTCCCAGCATAGCTGCCAGTCGAACCGTCGAACAGTCATACAGACAAACACTCGAATGGCTCTATAGAAGCGATTCTCCAGCAAATGCTGCCCCAACATATTCACAGTTCGCACAGAGTACAGATTAAATCAGTAGAGCTTATGTGGCGCACAGAACTGTGAAGTGGGGGTCTTCCTACCAGTAATTGCAATTCGTACAACTAATTTAAGAATTTAATGCCGTATTGTGTGCGCTGAGAAATACAGAGAGTCTGAGGTGTTACAAAAATCGCATTACAAGAAACTCTTACCGATTGTTGTAAGTCACTCGTCAATGTAAAATAATTTGAGTAATAGTTGGAAACAAAGCAGTTATTGTCCTAAGGAAATTGTTTCAAGTCTCTATCTTCTTAATTTAATCCATTATTTAAATATATTTTAAGACTATTATATAAATACCTAACACGACATTTAATTTGTTTAAGTTATTTAATTATTATATGACAAAAACACTTGCAAAAATTACTTACCCTTACTAGTCAAAAGCCAGCCGAACAACAAATGTGTTTTTGTATGAAATATACAGATTTTTATTTTATTGAATAGTTAATTAGGTGTTATGTCATTATCAATAAAATTTAAAGAAAAATGGTTGTAAAAGTTTCAATTAAATTTTTCAATAATCGTGCATAAATGAAATTGCATTTAATGAAATTATATGCGAATATAATAATGTTGTGAGTAAGCAAGCCAGTGTTTGATATAAAAATAGAAAGACCAGCAGTCAACATTATTATAATTCTTATAAATCAATCAATATCTTTTACACTTCATATAAAACAATGTGTAGTTTTTCTTTAAATATTTAGCAATATTTACATGCCTTTTCCAAACAACTAAAATGGATGCAAGTAACTTTGAAATACAAATGAAAACAACAAAAATGAATAAATAATTACTGCGTAATGGCTGAGCCGAAAAAGTACAATCTTCGAAATACTGTGAATCCACTGAATTGTTCTTAAAAACATTATTAAAAGAATGAAAGCAAATCTCTAGAGTTTTCCGCGACACCTCTGCGGTTTATTAAAGACACAAATTAAGTTTGTCAGCTGTCGATGCGCGGAATTTGTTAACAACATTGAAAACTGACAGTGGAAATCATAATAAAAATTATTAATGATGAGCAGCATATGAGTTATGAACTCATCAAACCATCAACACGGCACGGCACGGCACTGCACGGCCCATTCAATGATCATTCCAACAATGTGCAACAACTCAATAATGTTGTTGCCGTGCAGCTTCATTCTTGCAGTCAGTCGACTCGGCAAGAATGCAACTAAATCAATCACAGCCACACTAATTTGCCATTTAACAAGGTATTTGGACAATTTTGATATATAGTATGAACGAGTGCGAGCATTCGTTGAGGCAAGGGCAACACAAAATGTCAACGGTAGCCACAACAAGTTGACACAAAACGAGGAGCCATCAATCAAGCGAATGGCACAAAAAAGAAGAACATAACGAAAATATTGCTCGAACCCTACAGTTGGCCCTTCTTCTCCAGAGGCCTCTTACACGAAAGCCCATACGAGTGTGTAGTATGTGCGTTTGTCTGCTAAGTAGCAGTTAATTGTCATTAAATGTTATTGTATATTAATTAGCAAAACATGAAATTTACCAAATTGATGAGCAAAGTGGCACAAACATATAGACATATAAGTATATACACACACACACACACTCTCTGTCTCTCTCAGAGTTACCTGAACGTGAGGGCCTTCGACTACTGCCACCTGATACCAATTTTGATCTGATAGAATACGACATGGGCATGGGCACGGGTACGAGCATGAAGCTGTAGCTGTAGTTGTTGTTGTTGTTGTTGTAGCTGCTGTTGATGATGATGAAAATGAAGTTGCCGCCCAATTTAATTAAAATTCCAAACGATCTGCACATGCAGAGTACCACAATAACAAAATACCAAAAGTGAATTGCTCTTAATGTGAAAACTTGAAGGCCTGGCAGTCAGAAACGTGTTGATGAAATATCAGCTGCTGGCTTTAAACTTTTCTTCAAAATGGGCAGCAGGTGAAAACGGAGTTCTAACTTGGCTAAAGCAGACTATTACTTTGTATACTATAAAATGGAAGCCGATAAAAATTATGTATCAGCAGCTTACTATTAGTCCTTATGTTTACCTACATTTTTGTATACTAAGTATCACAATTGCAAAGCAAATAACTTCAGCAATACGACTATGATATATTTTTTTCTGTCAAGAATTTGCCAACAAACAGACTCTTATTGTCATTATTGAACTTTTCTTAGTTTCTGATGAGTTTTAAAGCCTCCTAGTTAGCCAATAAAATGGTGGTTAGGCCTCAATAAAAATTGAGAGTAAGACTACTTATATTTTTCAAAAATTTGTTGATCATAGTCTCCGAAGTAAAGAACCCTTGACTCATATTTTCGTTCTAGCTTGAATTAATAGAGCTTACTTTGAAATATTGCAAAATATTGATAATAATAATGGCAGGTGAATTAACCAAATTTAATCAAGAGAGACTGCTGGGGTCGAGCAAGCCTGACAGTGGAATACCCTGTACCCAAACACACTTCCGGTGATGATTTAAAGCGGCCATAGTATAGCAAAATGAAAAAGAATTACTTCCTGCAGTTTGTGGGCAAAATCTTAGAATTGACCATTTCATAAAATTATATATTTTTATTTATTTATTTATTTGTTTATTTATTAATAGTTCCTAGTGCGACAAGAAAGATTCTTATAAATTAATGCACTATTCAAAAATATTTGATTTTCTTAGATAATAAAGTGAAAAATGTTTTGATTAGCCTACTTAACTTACTTAACGTTTTATTAGATACATTTTATTTATACGAAAATTTGAATTAATTTTGCTTTATTTATATTATTTTTTATATAATATTAAATTAATTATATTAAATTAATTTTTATGTTATATAATAAATTTTTATATTTTATATTATATTTATATTACCGTGCCAGTTTGGTTTATGTAGATTTCGAATTATGAACAGAATTCTCTAGCGTCAGAAGTGAGGGAATCCAAAAATAAAATAAGTAGAGTCGACATACCAAGTTTGGTTTGTGGGCTCAGCTCTTTCTATGCTTCGGATATAAAGAGCTACCTGAGAGAAGCAATTCCCAATTCGACATTTGCCTTTTTCTGGAAGCAATAATCGCTTGAAGAACCGGCTAAAGCTTAACTTTTTTATTTATTTCATCTTTGGTATTTATTCGTCACATTTAAAACATCAGCTTATAATCAAATTTATAGAATGACACCATTATCGTACATTTTCACAAATCAGCATTATATGTTTGAATTGCATTTGCTGTGTCCAAGTCTTTTGAATGTTAAGTCAATTTAAAATAGTAATAAAATAGAGTTCTGCCATTGAACAAACCCCCAAATGCATTCTACACTAGTGGCTTAGCAAATTTGCTTGTCTACTACTGCAGTTTCATGGCTTTCAAATAAATCGAGTTAAGTTATACAGCCTCTTACACAACACATTCATTGGCAGGCCGACCACAACTGAGTTGGCAGCTAGCTGTGTGGTGCCTAACCGCAGCTAACCCCAACGTAGACAACCAAGCCATAGCCCACCATAGCTGGAGTCGTGGCTGCAGTCAGGGCTATATTGTAAATTATAGAAATTGGCATAATAAAGTGCACGATAATTGCATGTTTAGCGTTTATTAAATTACGCGGCTCTAATGCGCACGACTAACTACCGAAAAGCAAAACGTTAATAGAATTACATACTCGTACCTGCTCGTCAGCAAATCTTTGACCAAGCCAGCCTCTAAAACTCTGCCTTTATCTGTTGCTTGTAGCTGTTGGAAGTGCCTGCCTCTATACTGAACCTCTGTGGGCTATTGGATTATGGGCATATCAGAGGAAGTCAAGCTGGAGGAACTACCGCAAGAAGCCAAATTAGCACACCCGGATGCTGCAGCCGATCGTGCCGTGGCAGCGGCTGCTGCCGCCGCGTGTCTCGTCTCTGGTCCAAGTGGCGCCAGCGGCGGTACCAACAGTCCCATCTCGGATGTCAACAGCGATTGTGAGGCGGACGAGTATGCCCCAAAACGCAAACAGCGTCGCTATAGAACCACGTTTACCAGCTTTCAGCTGGAAGAGCTGGAGAAGGCCTTCTCGCGCACCCATTATCCCGATGTGTTTACGAGGTGAGTGAATAATATGACAAAAGATAAAATAAAATGCTTGGTATTTGCATAAGTAAGTCGATCCATTGGCCATTGCCCAGGGCAGACAAACAAAGCCAGTTAATGTTTGTTTTATGGTTTCAATATGGAAAATATTGAGACTCACACATGTGTTGATAATAAACGTGAAGTTCTAATTTTGATCGACAGACCCCCCGGCGTTGCATGCTTCAATCGATATAATGTGCATCACAATACCCCACATATGATTCCGAATTTAGAGCACAATTTACATGCGCTGTGGTTTAAGATTACACACGAAAGTGATTTTGAATGGACTTTCGTTTTAAAAGGCAGACGCAGACATTAGAAATTAAACGTTTCCCTAATTCATGGCCAGGATGGCTTCTAGACAGAATCACATCTATTATGTGAAATCATATTGATTTGATGTTCTATGAATTTCTTTTGTTTTGCTTTTGACAATTCATTTAGTTATTTTCTTGAAGTCTTTAATTTCCTTTTTAGCTTTTCATAAATTTTTTTTTTTCTAATAGTCTATGGATTTCGTGTTAAGTTTTCTTTAATACAATTCATATTCAATTCAATTTCTTAAGGTTCATGATTTTGCTTTTAAAGATAGCTAATTATAGTATTTCCGAACCCGATTATCTATGGAAAAACTAATATATTATTACTCGTATATGGCATATAACTCGATTAGGCAGTTACTTAGGAATACAACGTTAACTGCATTCAATTGGAAGTGTTTTAAAAAATTCATTAGTGATCAGCTAAATTATAAAGAAAAAACAGTTTTCTATATTTATTTCCAGTATTTGAAAACTATAATAAATGGCTTTCAATACTGTTGATTAGAGTGGAAATAATTGGCATTTTAATTTACAAGCTTATTTTATGAAACTTATAACAAAATTCGTACCTTCATTATTTGTATATGGGAATGATATTTTCAGAATGAGAAAACGAAAGTTTTTAGATCAGTTTAAGCAAGTATCACAGACAGTCTCTTTGCAGTCTATGTTTAACAACAGATGAGCCAGATTGCTTTTAAGTTGCTCAAGACAACAGTCAGAAGGGGAAAAATTTATAGAAATCCGTTAACAACTAATCACCCCAATCGTAATTGCTTTGTCTTCTCATCGATTAGATTCGCACCACCTGATCTTTAAATACTAGTTCAGGCGACATTTCGCACAGAAGCGCTCTCAAAGGTCAGTGTCCGCGAAAAAGGGCCCTACATCTCTATTTAGAGTGTCCCAGCTTTGCAGACAAGCTGCTTAAGCAAATGACTACCTTGCACTTGGGCGTCTTAGCGAGCCGACAGACAGCTCAGTCCGCCAGTCAAGTTGGTTAGACAAAATGCAATTAGCATGCAGAAATGCAGCAGCAGCAGCAGCAGCAGGAAAACGCGCTTTGGAAAAACAGCAATAATTGCCATAAATTAAAACTCTCAACTAACTGGCGGTCAAGTGACCGGGGCGGGCGCTAATTGAAGCCGCACGAAAAAAGCAATACCAGCAACAATTAGAGCAACTTTTTTTGTTGCTGCCATTCAACTTGTTAGCCGCAGTGTGTGTTTAAAAAGCAGTTGATTAAGGCGTAGAATTTTCATTGATACACTTAACACTCATTATCTACTATATAGTAAGTAGTACGTGCTCTGGTTTGTCAGCTCATTCAAATGCTCACAATTAATTAATTTAATTAATTTAATAACTGCAACTTTGTACTTTTTTTACGGCATTATAAATGTGTGGAATTAAACAGATGCTTATTATATGCCCACTTGGCAGGCTAGCAATTGAGAAATTATATCAGTTGTTTATTTACTTTATTTACTGAAGTTTACTTCCTTAATTGTACTCAACACTTGTTTCAGTACTTGTTGTTATGGATAAGCTATTCACAACAATTATGGAAAACACCACGACAGAGGAATATTTATACAAATACATAGCCATATCTCCATTCTAAGGTTTTCGTTTTCAAAATCATTTCAACCAGCTAACAAGAACTTCAAAGGGTTTGAAGTTCGTAGTGGATGCAGGTCATATAATATAGAATAAATATATAATAGTAAAAGAATTGTAAGTGTCATAAGAACAACAGAGAAGATAGATTCAATGAGTTAGTTGATGAGTAGAAAATTGTAAAATTCAATTCATATACATTATTCAAAAGATTTAATTTGAAAATCTAGTGGACAAAGTTTATTAATTCAGCAATCCTCTACATATCCACATACAATTTTAGTGTGTCAACTACCCTGACATGGCTTTCAAAAGTCATCCGATATTTAAGTTCCATCTATTTTCAACAAGTTCTTTAAAAGACCTTATGCAACATAAAGAAATGAAGTTAGAATTTAGTTAGAAAAATTACTTCTTTATTTGATTTGACCCATACCCACATCTTTATTGGGCTTATGCAACCTTGTCTATATCAATTCGATTAACTCTCGCTAATTATCCAACCGCCTAACAACAACAACAACTGTTTTTCTTCATTTCCAGAGAAGAGCTGGCGATGAAAATTGGATTAACCGAGGCGCGCATTCAGGTAAGCCCAATGGTGATTTAGCCATATCCGAATTCGCGTGCTCTGGTCTATGACGAAGTACAGCTAACAATGTTTAAATTGAAAAATATTGGAGCATGTCGTTGTTAATGAAATGCATGTTTATATTCATTTGTCTGCATTCGTTTTGAGTCCATTAGTTGGAATATATTGGTGCCCTAATCCACAAACTCGTACTTTTAATAACCGCCCATGATAAACAACATTATTTGCTTACATCGATTCCTAGCGGTAATTGCAAATTTTTGTTAAAGGGACTAGGGCCATAGCAAGGTCCTCGTCCAGGGCCCAGCAACATTGTGGTGGCCATCCAATCAGCCACATTGGTCGAGATTGTTATGTTAAAAACTAATTAAAGGGGCGTTTTCAATAACAACGCCCCTTAATTGGATACGGGCACAGTAGCCTGCTCGAATCACGCATATGCACAACCTCCTGGATCGACTGCCACATATTTCATGCTGTTTTCTCTCGCTTCTCTTTACTCACACACACACACACACACACACACATAGGTCTGGTTCCAGAATCGACGTGCCAAGTGGCGCAAGCAGGAGAAGGTTGGACCGCAGTCACATCCCTACAATCCATATCTGCCCAGTGGCGCCGCCACAATGCAAACAGTCGTGGGCGCCGCCCTGCCGCCCAATCCATTCACGCACTTGGGCTTCCAACTGCGCAAGCCATTCGATGCGCCCGCAAATCTGGCCGCATTTCGTTATCCGCATTTGTCGGCAGCACCCATGATACCATCTGGCTACTTCAATCAGTTTCAGCGGTAAGTAAGCTCCCCCCTAACCGCACCAAAAACACGCAATAGACTTCAAATAGAAGTGCTGAGAATGAGAATGAGGAGCTAATCAAAGCAACTAAATTTTTCGATAAAAAAATTTGGTTTATAAATTTTATCTAAAATTAAAATTAAATTAAGGGAATTTTCATGCTAAATTAAAAAAATTAAAATTAAATTTTCATGCTTTTTAAAGCCTTATCGAAATTAGAGTAAACCATCATATTTTCTTGTTTTTAAGAACGCGATATAGTATGTACCTTAGCTCAGATTAGAAATATCTTACATCTCAGGAATCTCGAGAAAAACGAACTTATTTAATGAATTCATTACTTATTAGGGGTATGTTACTTTGGAAAACTCCTTATGAAATAAATTTTGAACTACTGCTCCCGAAACATATCTTTACAAGCTTTTTAGAAAACTCTAACCTTTAAACATTAAACTCAATAAGTTATCACAAGGCTTCTCAACAATTTCCTACTAATATTAAGATATTTTAAATCACAGTACTGTTTTACAAACATATCTTTACAAACTTTTTTAGAAAACTCTAACCTTTAAACATTAAACTCAAAAAGTTATCACAAGGCTTCTCAACAATTTCCTACTAATATTAAGATATTTTAAATCACAGTACTGTTTTGCAAGGAAAAAATTCAATGCTAAAAATTGGAATTGCAGTTAAAATCAAATTACAAGCTATTATCAATAAATTGTAGTAAGGCAAGTGATTGAAAAACTCTCCTCGAAACATTTATTTATCCATTTATTCAACTCTTGGACGAAAGTATAGCCAACAAATACTCATGTCCTTCCCCACCTTCTCTTATTTTATTTCTTAGAGCGCCACCTCATATGCTGCCGCACGGCATGGCCTCCATGTACTCGCCTTCCAGCTCGTTTCAGTCGCTGCTCGCCAACATGACGGCTGTGCCGCGTCCACCGCCGATGCCAGTGGCTGCCAAACCGCCCATGCTGGTTGGTTCCCCAGATCTTCATTCGCCTAATCATCTGATAGCCTCACCGCCCACTTCGCCTGTTTCAGCCGCCTCACAGTCCGGACCTGCACCACCCGCACCACAGCTCTCGCCGCAGCAGCTAGTGGGCATACCATTGGCACATTCGGCTCATCAGCTCTCGGGTGGCGCTTCTGCCTCTCCGACCCACGCCGGTCTGCCTCAAACAGCACCCGTGGCTTTGACGCACTCGCCGCAACGTCAACTGAGCGGCGCACCACCACCACCACCATCGCTGTCGGCCATGCAACGCGCCGCCACACCACCCGAGGATCGACGCACTTCGTCCATAGCTGCGTTAAGGCTGAAGGCGCGTGAGCACGAACTGAAGCTGGAGCTGCTGCGTCAGAATGGACACAGTGGCGATGTGATTAGCTAGCTAGCCCACGAGGAAGTCGTTCAACTGCGCCAAAAGTATTTCCCTTTGGAAACATCTTTTTGCCGCACCTCTTTCCTAAACAGTAACCAGTGAAAAATCAGTTTGAGCTCTAAGTTTTTTTTAGTCCTAAGCCTGTGCGTCTCTGTCCAAAAGTGTTGTACCGTCTAAGTTATTTAAATTGTATTTAAAAAAGAAATCACGAAATTCCACTTAAATAAATAAAGTGCTAAATGTTATAAAGAAAACTAATTGGAAGTTTGCAGCCCGTTGCTTCTAAATGGAAAAATTATTCAGAAGTTTGAAAGAGACTCAGAAATTTGAACATTACAGGCAGGGACTTACGAACGATACTAAAGAGCGAAAAAAAATTGGGAATAATAAAGAGAAATATTATAAAAAAAAGTAAAGTATAAAGTTGCAGTATTTGTCTTAGAAGTCGATCAATAGGACTTCATTTTATCTCAATCAATTGGTTTTCTAAAGGGATAAATTCCTTTCCAAGGTTCTTTACACTAAAGACAGGACCTAGACTAAGCTATTCTAGGTTAGTTTCTGATTATTTCATAAATACTATCATGATGCAGTTCCCAGCTTAGGTAGTTCTGAAATAATATTAAGGATAGAATACAGTTTTAAGAATCCACAGGTTTTTGTCTTCACAAATATCAAAATGTTCAGATGATTTCGTGCAAAATTTGCCGGATTCTGAAGCAGATTTAACGAAAATGTTAAATTATTCAATATGTTCCAGATTATTGAGTCTAGAGGCTTTTGTGCTGGCAAGTAGAAAAATATTCAGATGATTATTTTCTGTTATGGTTTCTCCAACGGGTTTCTATCCAGATTCTCCCACGAGAAAGCTAACTAGAGCAGGGCTACGTACCAGAATGTGTGAAATGAATATCTAGCTCAAGAAAACTAGTCGCTTTAGTTTTCCCCCAGAATCTTCTGCCTTCGTAACAAATACATATCTAACTGAACTAGAATGTGAGGTGTAGAAAGTTTTTTAAAAAACCTTCGTTCTAAATTATTATCAAACATTTTTCATAATTCTTCCCGACTTGTGAGTCTGAAAGTTTTGTGCTCTTCTCACTTGATTTATAAACTGTAGATATACTTTTCTCTATCATATCTCTTGAACCGATTGCTAGTCGCCCTCTACTTATGAGAAATAGTCGACACTAATTCCCACAAATTAGGCAAAGGAGCGACGTTGTAAAAATAAATGTGCTGCCATATTTTGGGGCCCTAAAATGTGCGTAACACCTACTTGGAAGCGCTAACAAAACTGATTCACAGCCAGTTCGATAGCCGGCGCGCCAAGCCAGGCCATGAGCTGCCATTAATCAGACGTTGTGCCATAAATCAGTGAGTCGGGTGGCTGGACGGCTGGCGGGTTAGCTGGTTGGCCAGTCAATCGGTAAGCGGTGGCCAAAGAACGCAGCCCATGACCAAAAACAATGAGACAACGGAGACGGCAACGGCAACGACGACTTGTGCTGCACTGGACTATGGACAGTGGACAGTATACAGTGGACTAAGTGACGTCCAGGGAGGGGTGCTACAAATATAAATTTATGAATAAATTAGATACAAATTAAATATGTTAATTAACTCGAGGCTTGCTGATTTCTCTTTCGCAGAGACAAACACCAAACTCCAGCTCCACTATGTGAGAGTCTGTTGTGTGTGCGACTTACCAAGTATGGCTTGTAGCATTTTTGGGCTTGAATTATGCGTGGCAATTAATAAAATGGAATATTTATGATAACATTTATAAAACACGAAGTTAGTTAATTCGATTACTAGACTTTTGTGGTTTCTTCTGTCTGTTCCATTTTTTTTTTTTCCTTTTCACTTGAGCCCACGGCAGAGGGCGATCGGCATGTAATTATGTGCATTGTGAGGTGGAACTGTGATAATCATGCTTAACATTATGGTAGGTGTGGACCGCGTTCCCATAATTTTCCACCACAGCACACATTATGCATTTTAAATAACTAAGTCGATCAACTTCAAGTCCGCTGTCCTCTGTCCACTGTCCGCTCCTGAGTGCCAGAGAGCGCTGAGCGCACTTTTGTTTCTTAACAATTAATTTGCATAATAATCGAGGTATGGCCAGGCATGGCATGTTGGCTATATGCAGCTTGCTATATATACCTACACATATATATATATATAGATTGTTGGCCAACAGTCAGCTGCTCCAACTGGCATATTAATAATCATTAATTAATGCGACTAATTAACGCTGACATAAAAAGACTGCATTTTAATTACGCCCCTTTTCATTTGATAAGTTTTCAAATCACAACAATTTATGCTGGCATGTGTTCGTTTCTGTTGCTGTTGTTATAATTGTTGTTGTAAACATCTTTATTTTAGCTGCATTTCAATTCTGAAGCGTCATTTGCACAAACATTCGATTAAAGCGTTATTTAATTCAATTTAACTCAACACAACTTAATTGTATTTCATGGTATGAACAGCAACAACAGCAACAACAAATATCACTATTACGGCAGCAACAACAAATGAGCCAACGTTTAAACGTTGACGGGTGCAGGCACATGCAATGCGGCTGTCTTTACAACTGCATAGATCTGAGACAAAATGCAAGTAGAATTAATACCCTATAGTTCGACTGGTATACGATATCCCGCGAGTGTGGACTACAACTAGTAAACTAGCTTTATTACTGTATTAATACCTAATTTAGATACGCCACCAGTACCTCAAACTTTTACAAGGGATCGATGATAAAGGACTCACGAAATATGTGAATTTATATTGTAAGTATATATATATATAGATTTCTTTCCAAAATGAGCACTGATGCATCTAATAACAAGAGAGAATGCTACAGTCGGCTAAGCCGGCTAGCAGAAGCAGCAAAAAAAAAGAACGAACTAGGTGCTAATACTGGTAAAAATTTTATATTTAAAATCATTTAAATTTTTTTATACTTATTATTTAGTTTATTTAGGTTTAATCCACTTCATTTATAATAATTTTGTAAAGAAGAAGAGCGAACTCGATGTTAGAGTTTGTGGGCGTAATACTGATTAAAATTTTATATTAAAAATTATTTTATTTTTATTTTTTTTACTTATCATTTAGTTTATTTTAGTTTAATCCACTTCATTTATAATATATTTTTAAAGATATTAATCTTCTTCATTTTATTAATTTATGATAATTTATTTTTAATTACTATTTCCCATTTGACTATTTAAATAGTTCTAAAATGCTCTACGTGGAAATAAGACGAATGAAATAAATTACTTTCAAATGAATAACAGATGTTTGATGATATAAAAATTCTGTAACTAGGATATATGCACGTCCTTGTTAAATCTAAATATTGATGAACCATTAAAAAACACAGCATTGCACGTTTTAATAAATGACTTGAAATTAAAACAACTTATAAAATTAACCACCAAAGTGCTGTACTGATCCGTCGAGCTGCAGGGTTAATTTGTTCATTTGTATATAATTGCATGTGAGTGCATGTATGCGTGCGGCACATATACTTGAATACATGTATGTGTGTTTATGTGTGTGTGTGTGTGTTTGTGTGATTCGTGTGTCGGCGCAATTAAGTTTGCGTTTAATTTGCAATTATCCAAACGACTCGAACTAATTAGCGCCACTTTGATTAAATTTTGCAAAAATCAAATTTGTACAGAGAAATAAAACAAAATACAACTGAACAAAGAGGACGCGAGAGGAACGCAAACGTGAATAATTGTAGTATACAACATAATTAAATTTATGCATAGCTCGAAGCAAATTAAGATGCCTGCCAACGAAGGTTTACTCAAAAGGAACAAATAAATAATTTATATACAAACATTAATATTTGATTGCTGTAATTGCATATGTTTATGCCATGTACAATCACGTATACATACTTGTCAAAATATGAACAATAAAATATTTAATCAGACCACTAGATGCCATGATAAAATGAAAATGATATAATGAAAAGCAAAATTATGTATTCAAGCAATAAACAAAAGACTTAGGCAACGAACTTGTTCGGCCATTTTTCAAGTCTTAGACAGAAATGCAAATATAAAGCCACAAATCGTATTTAAACCCACAATATAATATCGAAAATGTGTAGTTTCGTGAATTAATTTTCAATACCAATTCAATTCAATACCGAGTATGATGTATTTTAATTAGTTTTCATTGTTTTGCGAATACAACAAAAATTGTTCGAAAAAATATTTTATGTATAATAATAATATAATATGCTTTAAACTTGAAATGAACTTTTAAACAATCAGCTCAGAAAGAAACATGTCAACAATATTAATGTAATAATTGTTGAAACCATTTTTAATTCCCTTTTGTAGAAACTAATTGTATTTTCTTAAAATATTATTATTATTGTAGCATCCAAGATTTACTTCAAAAGTGTTTTGAATAGAGTTAGCTGATTATTGAGCTGTTAAATCATTTAAATAAGAAATATCGCATCTATTATATAATGTTCTGAAAAGCGTAAAATATGAGTCAGAATTCGAAACGGGTTTTAATTTAATCTTGAAAATGGGCAATTGGTTAACTATTTTTAGTCACAAGACGTTTCTACAAATAGCTGCGCATTCGGCCCAGATTTAGGTAATGAAGCAAGCAGACTTATAAAGAAGATGTCGCTCTGGTCTAGCCGCCTTTTATTTTAAGCTATTGTGTTTTCTTCCAATTAGGCAACATTGTGCGTCTTCTCTATTATTACATTTTCTTTGATCTACTCTACTTTCGCATGCAATATGTCGTATATAAGGTTAGCCACAATTAGAGTCGACTACAGCACCTCCCACTTTGGTCCATTACAAATAGCATGACCAAGTTATAAGTCTCTGCTCTAGACCTGGCACACTTCAGACCCGTGTTCGTATCGTTTTCTGGCGATTGTTGTTGCTGCCTGGCCATTACAATTGACCAAATCTGTGTTTTGTCTTATGTAAAAATTCTTTTGCCTTGCT